CTGCCTCACTTCATCCTCATAAAGGAGATAACACCTCTTCTTACGAAAGGTGTGGGGATTAATTATCCTCTAAATATATGAAAGAAAAAAAAAGCAGATGTGCACAAGGGGGAAAACCAGCCTTTTTGGTAACTAATTCCCAGCAGTTACTTTGGTAACTAGTCTCACAGTACATGGACTGATGCAAAACCCCCCTTACCCTCCCGTGTGCTGCTCCGAGCGCTATTCCTGCCTGCATAAAAAACTCTTTTTTTCTTATTTCACTTGCTCTGACAGGCGACAGATAACAGAACTGGAGGAGTGAGGCCAATTTCATGTTTTTGCGAGGTGGCAGGGACATTCCCGAACTGCTCAAAACCAGAGTCTCAGGGACTTGGCAGCTCTGCCTCCTCTCCAGCCCTGGCACGTGCACATTAGTGCTCTCCTTTGATCACTTTTCCTATTCCCTTGTACAAATTCCAATTAATAAGTAAGACTCCAGCTCCTGGCTACTAACAATAACAAATGTAAGGGATCATATTGGGGCATTTTGGAGACACATTTCTGGGGTCACAGCTTGCAAGAACCCTTTTTACACAGATGGACGCAAAGAGGAATCACTCTCTGAGGCTGGAAAATCCTTGGTTTTGGAGGAAAGGGATCCCAGCCTCCCCCACCACACCAGAGCAAATCACCAGCAACACGGTACCAAATAAACACCCTCTAATTTCATGCCCTAGGGCAAGAAACAGACTTGTTTCTCAGACCTTTCAATTAAACACCTTCTTCAGCCAAGCAGGAATCATCTGCCATTCACACCTCTGCTGGGACACCCAGTTCTGCGCTCGGAGAGCGATGGATTGATCACGGAGCCAGCAAAGCACTGACCTTACAACCCACAGCCAAAACCAGGCATCTCCTCTGGAAGGCGTCTGCAAACGGACGCTTTTCATCTGCTCAGTAACAGCCTGACATCCCCTTGGCTTCTCTGCACGCTGATGCAACTGACTTTTTCCTAAAGTACTGCGGAATGCATGCGGGGGAGATAATTAAGGACAAATTAAAAGGATGAGATAACCATCCATAGAATGAAGTCAGATAAGGGCAGGTTCAGACATATATTTCATTGTGAAAGACCTGTTTTATTCCCACTAATGGAACAAATTAAATCAGCCAAGCTGAATAAAACTATCACACACCAAGATGCAACAACACACTTAAAGCTCGCCTTTCCCTGACTGCGTAATCCCATCAGTTATCACTATCCCCTGCAACGTGGAGATTCGCCTTCGTTGAAAACAAGGACAGACATCGCTCACTGCACATTCAGGCACTCAACAGGTAAACAGCAATGCGTTTTCAATCACGAAAACTAGTTACAACACTATGTATTTTCATGTAGCACTTCTCCTCCAGACAGATCCCGGGCATCCCTTCCCGGGTGACCTTGCATGCCAGAATCGACCCGAGCCGCGGGCAGCACAGCTGCAACAGGACAGTGTGTTACAGGAGTTCAGAACAAGGTCTGATCCCATTTATCCAGGAGGAAGGGGTGTGAATGGAGACACACACACACCATCCTTCACCTCAGGGCATCTGAAATAACCGAACCTGGGTTCTCGCCTGTAGCAATGAAGTTTACACTGAAGGCAGACCACGCAGAGCACTTTCCGTTCCCTTTGTATAAGCCATCTGCGGATGCAGAGCCCAGCTGCCAGACCTAGCCGGGATAGCTCAGTTCCAGTCAGCACCAAGAAGCATGTCCCAAACCTCCGAGCATCTCCAAGCACGTGGATCAAAGCCTTGTTGTCACGGGGGCAACTCAGTGCGGGGTGCAAACCAGCTCCACCATCAGCATCACTGCTCCTCCCCGGGAGCCACCCGTGTGCCAGCCAGGAGCACATCCAGCTCACGTGAAGGCAGGGAAGGGACAGCGAGGCTGCGGGCTCCCACGGCAGGAACTGTGTTTTTCCTACAGCAGGCATAAACAGCATGGTGGTAAAATAATACATAGATTGGTGCCCTGTCAGACACAGAAGAGACATTTATTTATTCTTGATCACAAACAATGTCCCCCATTGACAAGCTGAATGAAGGGCACTTCACTGATTTATTAGATCTAATAAGAAACACACCTCTTGGGATGAAATACGAGATTGATTTTTAGTGGTGAGCCATGCTGCTGTCCCAGCCACCGTGCTCAGCCTGATGAGACGAACCTGGGCACGCATGGGGACGGAGAGAGGTGGCACAGCACTGGCTGGGAGAAATAAAAATTTGCACGAGGAAAGGGAGCTGAAACGGAAACAAGGCCTGCAACAGCAGCCCTTCAGACTGAGGATTACTCTTTTCTTCCTCAAACCCCTCTCTCTCCCACCAAGTCTAAATATCTTAAGAGATGAGCAGCAAAGTACTAGAAAGTTTAAGGGCAACTCCAGCATGGTCCTTGGGAAACCTCTAAGTCAGACTCTTCCCCTGCATCTGCCTTTCAGAGGAGCCCCTCTGAACACAGCCAGGACCATTTTCACACCAGCCACAGCATCTAACAGGCAAACCACACTAGCTGGGTTCCACGGATGCCGTTTTCTATCAGGAAAAAGACAACTAGCACAGCAGTGCTTAGCTTGAGGCCCTATTAATAGCAGTCCTAATTATATGGCTGCAAATTTAATTCATAGCAATGATTAGTGTCAAAATCAAAGGCATCACACATCAATATTGATGGAATTGTATGAAGCCCATAAACAGAACAAGCCACCCGACACATCTCCCCCCAGCAGTTAGTTGCTGTTAACTGTTGCATTAATGTCTCAGCTAATTTTGCTTGATGAAAATTGTTTTATTGCAGGAATCCACAATTCCAAATGATTACATCTCTAACATGGTCCCCTTCCCCCCTGCTCCCCCCAACTACGACGCTGAGACACTTTGGAAGGAGAGCTGGACCACCAAGCTGCCGGCAGAACCACATCCCACGGACCTGTGCTTTATCCGAAAGGTCACGGCATCATCAGCACATTTTGCTTTTCACCCACTTGAAGAAAACTGCTGAGGAACAGCAGTTCTCAAAACCAGCGGGCTGGCAGGGGCATGGCGGGGGGGCCTATTTCGTACAGCACCTACATCAAACGTGCACAAGCACCAAACACAGCGTGAGTCCCCTGCCCGAGGCACACCCCACATACAGGCAGGCTGCGATGAGAGGCAGCAGGCTGGCAAAACCAGTGCCATGCGAGAAACTTCCTCCTCCAGCACTGGGTTTTAATGGAGAATAGATCCATCCATCCATCCTTCTCCCTTCAATAATAACCAAGGACATGGGATGCACGTATGTGTGTCACCAGCTGTGCGAGGGGCGGTCCCAGCAGGTAATCCTACGTAATCCATGGGATGTGACAGCAAACACACACGCTGTTTGCTCTAACTGCCCCCAAATGAGGCACCTCCCCTGCCCCCCCCCCCCAAAACACTGCAAACCCCAAGTACCAGGCTGCGTGGCTGGCTCGAAGCTTGCCAGCACATGCATCTGCAGTATGCTGAGGGTGCCTCTTCCATCCACTGAGCTGGAAAAATCCTGGGGTGCCATGGTGGGTGGGGTGGGCAGGGAGGAGAGGGGCTCTGCTCACCAGCCCACTCTCCCCCACATTCAAACTCGCCCCTCTGCAACTGGAGAGGCACCGGGGAGGCACCTAATTTACTACTGCTCAGCACTTGTAAAGTGCTGGGTGAATATTAATGAACTGATGTAATTAAAATGATGCAGACATTCAAGTGTAGTATCTGCCTGTCCTTGTATCTTCCTGGATAGATGAGGAAGAAATTCCCTGCTGCTTAAGGACACAAAAAATTAACAGCCTGCTGTTGATTACACTCATTAACTCCTTCCCTGGTACCAAGAAGCAGGATCTGCATTTAGCAGGTTCACCCAATGCTGTCATTGATATTTTAGGT